AGATCGGCGTTCACATCTTACTGCTACTGCTATTTTTAGAGCCAAATGCCAACTTCTCCGAGGGGCAGGGGCGAGTTGGCCTCGCCGCTGGCTGGACCCGCAGCAGTGCCCGTCTCTGCTGTCGGGAATGCGGGGAGCCGGGATTTAAAAGCCCTCCGGCCGGCCAGGCCGTTGCGCAGTCCGCGGAGGCCCCCAGAGCCCCCGTGACAGCGAAGGCAGTAAGGCAGGGAAATCCAGCTGGACGCGGTCAGTATCGGTATAGTAAAAAAAATAAATAAATAAAATAAAAAAAATCTCCAAAACCCAGTTTTAAACGCGTCCCCACTCCCTTAGCCATGCCCTTTCTCACCCTGACAAGGCATCTACCCCAGCCGGACCAGCCCAATACACGCCGAGCGACCCCGAGGAGTCCGAGGAAAGTGTCACTCGCACGGGGACGAAAGCCACCGCCACTTGGCACTGGACGCGCCGCCGCAGCAAAGCCGTAAGGACAACAGGGACGGCCAGACGCGGGTGCTTACCGGATTCTCCGGGACCCGAAGGAAATCCAGCCTTCCGGCGGCGGCGGCGGGTTGCGCCCTTCCGCGGCGCGGGTCCCGGGGCCGGCAGGATCCCGGCCGGGGAACAGGCGCGGCGTCCTCGCGGGGGTTGTAAGTCCTGGGGCGGGGGTTCCGCCCGCGCGGCCGAGGTTTCTGGACGAGGCGGGCTGCGGGTCCCGGTGGGCCGGCAGGAGGGTGGCGGGGGCCGCCGCTGTCTCCGATCTGCTTCCCGGGACGCTCTCTCGAGGGCAGCTCTGCTCCTCGGCCACCCGCCCTCTCCCTCTGCCACTCGCTGAAATTACTACAGCGAGTCGGAGAAAGCCCTGAAGAGCGGCTTTTATACGCCACGCAAGTCCCGCCCCCGGCCTTTCCCGCCAAGCCTCGGAAAGCCCAGCCTTCTGAGCGCAGGAGGGGCGGAGGGCGCGGCCGCGGCCAGGGGAGCGCGGACCCCGCGTGGGAAGGTCCGGCGGGGGCTCCTCGCGGGGCAATCTTTCCGCGTCCCCCGCCTCTGCTTTGGACCCGGGAGCGGCTCCTCTGGGGAACCAGGGAAGGGGAGGAGACAGCTCGCGGCGCTCGGCCTTCAGATGTAAACAGAGGCGCCGCGTGAAGGAGCCGCGCGCGCCTACCGTGCCCCTCTCCTCCGTTGGAACCCTGTCCCTTTCCCCTTCCCCGCGGCTCCCGGGGCGGCCCTCGTCCCGCTGCGCTCTAGTCCTGCGCCTTCCAGCCACTCGGGTGGAGCCGCCCTGAGCACCACGCACACACCGTGGGTCCCGGCCGTGCCTCCCGAGGGCAGGGACGAGAGCAGCCGGCGACGATGAGGTCCCACGGGGAAAGAAAGGGTCACAGCCGCCGGCTCCGAGCTGAGCGGGGGGCTGGGGTAGGCGGGGACAAACCCCGAGCGTGTGGGGGGCACAAAGCCTAGGCTTATTGAAGCGACTCCGCAACGCATTGCCACGTATGCTGGGAGAGCGCGCTGCGCGTCAGTGGCTCTCGCATCTCGGGGTGTGTGTGTGTAACGCATGAAACGTGTACATCTGTCTAGACTGGGTCCTTTCCACTCGGCACGAGCCCTCCGGTTCGCGGCCCTAGGTGCACACGGTGCAGGGCTGAGGTCGAGGAGCCGTGGGAGCGCGCCGGGGACTCACCCGGGCCCTGCGGGTTTGCACCACGTGGGGGCTCCTCCCGCAGGCAAGGTAGGGGTGTCCGCCTGGCAACCCGCGGGGCCCATGGGCACCCGACTCAGGATCCCAGGTTTGGGGGAAATCAAAGGCGCTAGAGGAGAAAACGAGGAGGGGCCGGAGACTCGAACCTCTGGGTCGGACTTCTCAGAAGGCAGAGGAGGAGAGCTTGCCCACCCCTGTGAAGAAAACCGTTAACTCCTTCCTCGCTGGACAAACCGGATGCTTGCGGGATCTTCTCCCTTTATTACTTGGCTTCTAATCATATGCGCGCGCACACACACACACACACACACACACACTCACATATGCATGCACGGTATCGATTTGATCAACCGAGAGGAAAGGAGATTTGCTTTTGTGTCTCTCTTAGAGGGGGTGTGTTTTAAACTAACAATTGGCTGTATTTCAGGGATTATTTTTTCCTTCATTGACTATCTCTACATACTACACCTAAAGTGCACTTACTATCATACCCCGCAGATGTATATACATACTTCTTGTGCACATCCACCTCGTTTATTGCCTAACTTGAAGAGCAAGTCACTTCCCGAGTGGACCCATATTTAACACAGAATGCACATTCCTTGGGATTTGCTCGTTTGCATTTGGATGGCAGGGCATCCAAAACAAAGGCAGTCTTCTCATGCCTGCGCCCTCACCCAAAGGCATTTTAAGAAAACTTTTCCTACTCTTACCCTCTGCAAAAAGAAAAGAGTGTGAGTGGGTGGGTGTAGCACCCACACAGCGCAGGATCAGGGCGGCCCGGCGTCCAGCTGTTAAATGGGCAGAGACGTCTCCAAATCAAGCTCGAGACACCATTCAGCTTTAAAATTGCCAACGACTCCAGCCTCTAAGCTTGTGCCGCAAACGCCGGGGACGACCAATCCCTAGGCTCGGTTTTGCTGCAAACTGTTTTACCTCCGCCCCCTGCCCGGCAGCACCCTGGTCTGTGTTCGAAAGTAAAGTAAGTGCGCCCCCTACCGGCGGCGGCGCTCCGTGCCCGGATGCCAGGAGGGCGGCGGGCGGA